TCGATTAGATACGAAGGTTCATTGTTGTCGCGTTGTCGTTATCTTGGCCTTCGCGAGTCGTCTTATCGGATCTATTTTAAGCCGCTCTCTAATTGCGCCTCATTAAATTCGCTTTTATTCCTGCCGATCCTGCCTGCTCGTTCCGGTTGTCAGCCGCTCCTAAAGCGCGATGGTCTAGAATTTTTTATTAAATTTACCCCGTCCTCCCTCCTCCCCCTCCAGGGCAGCCTTATTGCGCAAGGTTACCTTCCGACTGTTCGCTTGCCTCGCTTTAACGCGTTCAGATACTGCTCGTCGTCGTCGTCGTCGTCACCGTCGTCGTCGTCATCACCATCGTTGTCGTCGTCGTCGACTACGCCGTTTTCCCTTATCTGCGCGAATTATGTAAATCGCCGATTCAGATTTTTCCTCGTTTTTTTTTCGCGCGGCCCACGCTCACGTGTTATTGGGCCTAAAACGAAGCGCGTGGAACTTTAAATTTATTTGGGCGACAGTTTAATGGAATGATTATCGCGATGTTTCGCAATTCCACCGTGACAGAATTACGAAGTGGGATCCCCCGACGGGGATCTCCTTTGATATTTCACTCTCACTCACGCACACACAAATAGATTATATTTTACCAGCCAATTGGATTTTTCTCTTCCGATCGCTTTTGTCCGGGGAAAAGTAAATCCCCCTGGTAGTTGATAAATTTTGTGAAATCTACTGGAAATGTTGCGCGGGAGCAATCGAGTTTCCCGATGCTCGGAGGTCTTTCGGAAAATGCTGCGGGAATTCTCAACCAGAAATTCCTCGGACGATTATTGTTCGATAATCAGCCCGTTGTATTCCACGCGTTTGCACGCAATCCAATACGGTGCGCTTTCAAGGAGTCCCCCACCCCCACCGCCCACCGATCTTTTAAACGTTATAGTGCGCTAAAGCGTTTAACGGTCGTGGCATCGGGGTCATGCGCGACGTATTGTAGTTACCGAGTCGATATTTTAATCTTCGCGAGACCCGGCTACACCACCCGGGACGTCGCTCGGATTTTACCGTATCCGAAATAAAAGAGATGGAAAAGAATGGGGACGAAGGTGTGGGGAAGACAGACTGCGCGAGAGGACGAGAGAGAGAGAGAGAAAGAGAGAGAGAGAGAGAGAGAGAGGGGGGGGGAAGGCATAGGAAACGTGTAAAGGGTGGAAAACAAGCGGTCGAAATGGAGGAGCAAGTGGAGGGGGTTGTAAGAAGGCGATGGTGAGAGTCAGCGGCCTGCCGAAGGACACTGCGGGTAGAGATTTATGGCGTGTAAAGAGAAAAAAAAGAGTCCCGAGCGCGAGTACCGAGGGATTACATTGCGAATAATGCGGTGTGCGCGCGCGAACACGGATTCTCGCAAAAATCTAATAACACCAAAGCGATGTTGTCCTCGATTTAAAAGCGATTTATCTCACTTTGGTCGGCCGCGATTCTCGCGGGGGCGAAGCTTTTATCCGAAATTACGCGAATTCGCGTGTTTACACAGCGGATCGCTTCGCAGGTATCCCACTGAATTGTAATTAAAAAAAAAAAGAGCAGGTGAAACAATTCGCGCACACACACACACACACACACACACGCGCGCGCGCGCGCGCAGCGAAGGTCTCGAGCGCGAAGTAAAAGAGGCGATGGGAGGGAATGTATGCTCGAAGCGAAATATACGGCTCAAAAATCCGCAAAACAACGATTCCCTCAGAGGAAGGAAAGGATGAGAACATAAAAGAGGGGTCAAACAATGTACTAAAAGCGAATACGGCGTGGCATGGCTGCGAGATAAAGGCAGCGAAAAGAGAAACGAGTGGGATCGCGAACAAATGCGAACGTGCAAAAACAAATAACGGCAATCGAGTGCATCCGCCGTGGGCGATACTTGCGTCCATGGCCGAATGGGGCGAGAGAGAGTGAGAGAGAGAGAGAGAGAGAGAGAGAGAGAGAGAGAGAGAGAGAGAGAGAGAGAGAGAGAGAGAGAGAGACGGGCAGATAGATAGAGAAGGCAGCGTTGCGAAGATTCGCGCAGTACCTGTTTCTACGAGTTCGAGTTTTGTCGCCGTCGTTGCTACCGTCGTCGTGAAGGCCGCGGTGAAAAATACACTGGCGCATAGACGCTTATATATGCGCGAGCCTTTTTACGACGACATCAACGGCGAAGTGCGCGGAAATCGCATTTATTTCGGGATCCTTGCAATCTCTCGACACGGAGACCGCGAAACTGCAAAGTCGAAGGGCGCGAAGTTTGCCCTATTCGTCGCCTTGCTCGCGTCGCGCGATGGCCGCGCGAGTTTCGACGCGCCATGAATTATCGCAGTGTACCGCGAACGCCGACGTTTTTCGGCGAAGCATAACGAAAGCTCCGTTACGCGACACGAGCTTTCTAAGACCGGCTGAAAGCGCGGCAAGTGAAACGAACGCGTCTCGGGAGAATTTGGCGCCCGGTGCTTGCCGGGCGCCGTGCTCGCAGTTTCTCGCGAAACTTTGCCCCCGTGTAAAAAGTGTAGCGGGAATTTCGTACTTCACATTAGCATGCTAATGAATGGCTGATCGCGTAGCTGTCCTCTATCTCCCCCCTCCTCGGTCCTCCTTATCAGACTAATGAACGAACGGACGGACGGACAGACGAAGTAAAAGCAACGATTTATTTCCGCATGATACACTGCTTTCCATGTCTGAAATGAACCGTCGAGAAAAAAACCTCCCGCTGTATCCCGCGGGAGATCCATCGGAGATGCGCGAGACAGTGCAGGTAAATCCATACGAATGTTCCATCCAAGCGTGTGTATATGTGTACACGTGATCCTGAGGTGCATTATTTTGCATTGGAAATCAACGTCTGCCCTACTCTTACAGAGAGAGACAGAGAGAGAGAGAGAGAGAGAGAGAGAGAGAGAGAGAGGGAGGGAGAAAGAGAGGAGAGAGAGGGAGCCATGCACCTGTACGAGCATCGATTTCCGCTTGTTGTCAGAATGTGCAAAAAATATGTTTGCGTTGGAATCCGGTCGCAGGGTAAATCGAAGCTTTCGAACGGAAAGAAAATACGCCGGGTTTCCGGAACGGCAGAGTTTACCGTTGATTTTCACCCTAAGACACGCGGCAAATGTCAAACGCGACCGGCGACGAGCCTTCAGCGTCGCCGGATAGAATGCTGTCCATGGTCTAAATGATTTACTAATTGCTGTAACGATCGTCCGATTGCAATTTCCCCCGGCTCGTCAGCTCTCTTCCTCTATTATTAGGCGATCGTGACCATGATGGTCGTGTCCGGGACGACGGCAACACTTTGTCGCTCAGCTGGCCTCACTGCATTTCCCCGCGACGCGATTTTTCTCTGGCCCTCCTTTTCCCATTTCCTCGCGCGCGCGCTCTTTTCCCTCTTGGCTTCAGTCGCTCGCCGGAAACGACCGCCACTCCAGCGATTTCCAGCGAGGAAACGTGACAAATATTTCTGCCCGTCACCTCCGCACCCTCCGCGCGCGCGTGTGTGTGTGTGTGTGGTGTGTGTGTGTGGTGTCGCGCGCTAGGAAAATATACACTCGATCGTTTAGCACACGTTATCGCGACACGTGGGGAAACGTGAAGATATCGCAGCCTGCAGATTCGCAGGGCGGTGCAAACAGGCTCATCGATAACTCCGAGTCGATCGCCGAGACGTGTGAATGCGAGATCTCCTGACATGTTCGCTTGCTCGTATTTGCGCCTTGCCAAAGAGGAAAGTACTTTGGTTTCTTTGCTTCTCAATTATACGTAGAGACGTCGGAGTTTATCGAGCTGTGCGAGATAAAATTGCAGCTCGCTGCGAGATCGATCTCCTCCCGAGTGATTGCGCTCGAGAGGCGCATATTGTGAAGAGATCGGCAGTGTTTCGGTATTCGGCGTAAGCCTCTTGGGTCCTCCACAAAGGAACAAAGAGACGCGCAGGTACAAGGCTTAACAAGGGGAAGCCGTTGTATACCCAGGCCCGGGTGCGTTCCGAGCATATTTGCGTAATAAGTTGTCGTTAATACGACTACAACGAGCCGGATGGCACGCGCTGGCGTCGCATTGTCTTCCACATGAGAGACATCAAAGCGTTGTCTCGAGCGCCCCCGCGCGTCCGCGCCGCGGTGCGAAGCGGAAAGAGAGCGAAGAATTTCGCGTGCGCGCGAAACCTCCTCCTCGACGTGCTCGACGCGCCTCCGCGACGGTGTTTTCCTCCGGCGTGTCTGTCGAAACGGATGTCCGAAACGGGACGTCGGTTAACAAACAAGAAACTAGCACCGGCACGCCGTAGCAATCGTCTCGTGGAGCGGAGTGTTGCTCGGAGGAGCATCAATCCCGATTCCATTTCGAGGCGAATCCGGGCGATTCGAATTGCGCCCGCCAGCTCGCTCGCTCGCTCGCTCGCTCGCTCGCTCGCTCGCCACGATTTCGTGCAAATCGCGCGCCGCGCCGGAATAGACGAAACGTGTGCGCGATAAATAATAGGGGTGGCACGATTGTTACCTCGCCCGAGCGGCCTTTCCGTCTTCGCCGGCTCCTTCTTCCCCTCTCTCCTCCCCTGCTCCTCTCATTCTCTGTCTCTCGTTCTCGATTTCCTTGCTTAATCGCGGAAAACGTCCGACGTCGCCTGTCGGAAGCGCTCGCGCTCGTTAATGAGCGGAAATAAAAGCGGCCGAGCGCGAGGGAGACGCCTCCAAGCATCCTGATACTTTTGTGTTTCGCGCGGAGAAATAATATTTGCCTCGCGCGCTTCCCCCGAGCGCTTCGGGAGCGCTGCCGCGCGCGCGCGCGATCGAGACTGGCAATTCGCGAGGCAAAGTTCGACGACGACTCTCGAGAGGCCGAGAGAGCTTGCGCGACCGTTGTCTTGGAAATGTAATGTTACATACAAACAAAGCGAAAGTGCGACCGACACGTGGTGGCTTTGCGCGGCCGAACGCGGAACGCAACTCGCGGAGCCGAGCTGTGGATTTAATTGCTCTCTCTGTTTACTTGTTGCACAACAGGTATTCGACAAACATAATCGTGGCTACATCACCGCGTCGGACCTCAGGGCGGTGCTGCAATGCCTGGGCGAGGATCTGTCCGAGGAGGAGAGTAAGTATGACGTAACCGGCGAAAGCGAAATAATCGCCCTTTCACCCGCGAAGCTGCAGCGCTTCGGAGCTCGGCAAACGCACTCGCCGATAGCGCCCCGCCGCGAAACGCTTCGGAGGAGGGATGGGCGCTTCGTCAAAGAAAAGCGTCGTCTTCGATTTCGAATCGATTATGAAAAGAATCGTTTTCGCACAATCGATGTTTTCCTAGTTTATTTTGAATTAATGTGAAGAGTTATATGTCGCAACAATAAGTTAATATATTATTAAAACCTTAAAGACCTTTTTGCAATGGCTGCAAGCATAAGCTTATATATAAGACTATAAAGGTTATAAGCGTAAGCTACAAGAAATAAACCAATTAAAGTCGGTTGTTCTTACAATAGTCGACTGTTGTTGTTGTTGTTGGTTTATTTTTTACCGTTTACTGTTTACAGCTTTATTTTTGCAGCTATAGCTGTAGACGGGCCTCAATAGTAGTAAACGAATTCCCTAGTGATGAAAATTTAGTAACAGATCTAGTACTATAATCGACGAAAGGAATAATCGATCTAGGGAATAATCGGCCCCGAAAAATATCGGTCTGATAATCTTTATTTTTCAAGAAAACAATTGCTTGTTTCATCGCTCGATATTTGCCCATCACTACTTCGGAGTATAACTAGCGCGCGCGCGCGCGCTGGTCTCCCCAATCTTGCCCCGGAGATACTTCCGATAAGGGGAAACTTTGGCAATAAAAGCTGAAGTAAGCCGTTTCCGTGTAAATCGACACACCTGAGGACGATTGATTTTCGGCGAGCGCGCGGCGTCCCGGCTTTAACGGCTGCCAGCGAAACTGCTGCTAGCGGAAACAATCGCGATTGCATCCACGTGCGATTCACGCGGCATAAATCTGCAGGTAATACCCGTCTCGTGCCGATGATATTCGCCGGTGAGAGAAGAAGCGACAGATCGAGATCGACGCGCTCGTTTTCCCATCTCGATTCGCTTCCACCGCGCCAGTCGATCGTTATTCGCGTTATAAACGTCGCGACACGTTGACCGCGTGCGGGGAATATTTTAATTTTCACTTTTCTGCCCCTTTCTCTCTCTCTCTCTCTCTCATCCATTTGCGCCCGAATTATCGTTATTTTCCATCGGGGAATTATTTGTACACTCGGCCCTTGTTATTTTTCACGAGCCGGCGAAATCCGGATTCCCCAATTCGGCAATTGTTGACACGCACCGTCGAAAATCTAGACTGCCGCATCCCCCCAACCGCTCGCGGCCCTCCCGGTTACTTCGCCGAAGAGTCTCGTCCCTCGCGCAGAGGAGGCAGCGGCTTTCCGCCCGCATTCATGACGACAATCGTGTGTTTGCGCGAACGAAGCGAGACGGGCGAATCGTTCTCGGTCTCGGGTTGTTCGAGCGTAATCATAAGCGTTTCGCCGTGCGAGACGGCAAACCCGCCGGAATATCGATTGTTCTGCGGCCGTGGCCGCAGGATTACGTGCGGAGACCATCTCGAAGACATGTTTCCAATTAACTCCTCGGCAAATTGACGATTTCGCTAAATTGACGATTTCGATAGACGGCGCACGAGTACAGCGCGATTGAAAGACAGCTTTTCGCGACGTCACTTGTGTGTGTGTGTGTGTAAAGGAGTATCCGTGATGAAATAAAATATTATGTACCGAACTCTGCGCTAAATAGCGAGTGGCAGACTATTGAAGAATATCAACACGATATTTACGTCGGGCTGTCGGGCGCGAACATAACATGGAAATGTTTCCGCTCTTTCGCACCGTCCGCGTCGCGCATATCGCTACCGCGTGATTATTGTCGCATATTAACACCGCGTATAATTCCGGGCGGAGCTGCCCGTCGATATGTAGCCATTAACACAAGTACACGGCCAGCTGCGCGCCGTGACGCTCGCAGAGACATCGGTTGTATCAATCGCGACGGTCGATGCTGATTTTGCGTTTCGCTTCGCGAATTCGCGCGACCTGCCTGGCGTCTATTGTGCCTTTCCTCGGGAAAAAAGCGACCCTTCGTACTTCCGTGCGAAGAAACACCGCGAGAAATCGCGTCAGGAATGCGCGCGAGAAGCTTCCCGGAGATTGCTTAATTACTCCGCCGTCGCGCAGTCCGTTTGACGCGATAGAACGCCGCTGAAGAAACAAACGTAAGAAAGTTACAAAAACAATTGACTCTTTATAGAGAAACGCAATTTGCCCTCGCACCACGGTAATTACGTTCAGTTAATTGCGCCTCCGTAAAAACGAAGCGAAGGGCGACGGGCGAGGAGAGAAGACGAGGAGACGAGAGGAGAGGCGATCCACACGTAACGAATAATTTAAAACGACGACGTTGCACGAGGCACGTTATTGTTGCAAAGTGCCGGCGCGAGTTATGACGCGTTTAACAATTTGCCGCGCTTCAGACTTTAACGACAAAGTTGCAAATGGGAGAAACAAGGACAGGGAGAGGCTGGCAGAGAAAGGGTGAGAGAGCATGGGTCGCGTTCAGCACTCCCTGGCGAGTTCTGTTTATATCGCTCGATTGTTGGATTTGATAATCTCGCACGGCCGGACGATCGGCGCGAGTTCCTTCATTGGCCGCGATCAATTTCAGCTAAATCGCGCGGAAATCCACGGAACAATCGGTAGAATTGGCGGGATTGCAGTTTACAAAGTGTGTTACACGATTGCTGCGCACCGCGCGAGCGAGTTGCCTTACGTCGCGTTGCGTCACGTTTCACATTTGGCTTGAGTAATTACACCGTTCACGTTCACATTGGCTCACGTTGAGTAATTACACCTCGCGTGGCTCTCGCGTAGTAAACGATAGATCGCGATTGCGAGAAGGGAAAGGGTAGAGAGAGGGAGAGAGAGAGAGAGAGAGAGAGAGAGAGAGAGAACGCGACAAGAGGGGCCGGCTGCTAATGGGCGAGAGAATGAAATTTCCGTATTAGGGAGAAAGATCAATTTTGGAGATTTCGAGGAGGCATCCCGTGGAAAGTCCTCGGATGCCTCGGTTGTGCCGCGACGGGCCGTTAATACCGGCTGCCGCGACGCCGGTACGCGCCGTCTTCATTCCTTTCGGCGGCGATAAATTCTGAGTGGAAATAACGCGGCTATATCGGCGATATTCTTCGAGATGCATGATGCGATCGTGCAATTTGTTGTAGAGTCGGCCGCATCGTTCCCCGGCCAGGCGGGACGCGTGATGCGAATTAATCTCGCCGCGGAACGCGCCCGGCAAAGATAGATATTTACTGGATTACCGCGCCGGCACGGAGTATATGAGTGCGTTTATCGTGGTAAAAATAATTTCTCTTTTGTAAATTCGCATCGGACTCGATTCGCTTTCGTGCGCTTTTTAATCGTGCCCGAGGCTGGGTCTCTTCCTTCCGTTCTTTACCGTAGCGTAATGTGTAACGGTCTCCGATGACACTCTGAATCCGCGGAGGATTCAGTTGCAATTAAACGTATTATCGCGAGTGCCTTCGGATTGGATTACCTTTGACGCTCGATTGCCTATCGCGCGACTACGGCAACGTGTCGTTTAGCGAGCGAACTGCGCGACGAAGGGATGCTCGTCGATACAAGGCGTTCTCCTTCTGCTTTCAGTCGAGGATATGATCAAGGAAGTGGACGTGGACGGGGACGGCCGGATTGATTTCTACGGTAAGCTTGCGTCAGTTTCTTCTTGCGACCGCGAGACTCGCGGTCTCGTAAAAATCGGACAGGCGCGAAGTACAAGCAGCGGTAAAACGGAGCTTGATCTGCACGACCCTTGCGAGGAGTCGTAGCAGGCGGTGGAGCAGCCGCATCTGGACGAGCGAGGGGACACGTAACTCTCGCGAGAAAGTTGAAAGAGTGAAGATCGCCAAGAGGGCCAATCTCGAGAATTCCGCCGATTTGACTTCTCTGTGTTTCAGAATTCGTTCATGCCCTCGGCGAGCCGGGAATCGACGAGGACGAAGAGGACGACGAAGAGGATCTGCAATCTCCGCTGTTCTAAGATCGCGTCTAATCTATCTCATCTCTTTGTTAGATAAACCCGACTCGATACGGGCAACAGGAAGATGCGCGATCGCATTTTCACGAAAATATTCTTCCTCTCGCGTTTGCAATTCGAATCGCGCGATCACGCCTGGCGAACGAGACGAGGCTCGTCCCTTTAAACTTCGACAACTCGTCTGCGTTTCATTAGCTCTCGCTCTTCTCAAACTCTTCGAGTTGGTTTCAGTGCTGGGACGCGAGCGTCCCGCTAAGCGTATCGTGAATAGAAATAATAAGAAAAAAAAAATCTGCACCGAGCTACACGTTTACTCGCTCGCGAATGGTTGCGAGTGCAGCACGAATTTCGCATTCTTGATGTATGCTAAATGAATCGTCTCGATTTATCGAGGATTCTCGACAAATTGCTCCTGCGCATCGATAGCATGTGGAGACTCGTCGTCGTGATTGACCGTCATCGGGGCTCGCCGCTGAGAGAAGAACGCACGATGTAACACCGGAAGAAAAACAGAAGAAAAAGAAGCCCGCGAAAATCAAAATGGCAAGGATATCGAAAAGGGAGGGGCGGGCGCGTCGTCGGGCGCGAGAATATTCGGATTGCCACGCGGCGCGCGAATGAGCGCTATATATCGCCACATATATGCAGAATGTAAAAGACCAGAAGCGTTCCCGCTGGCACGATTTTAACGAGTCGCTGATAAGCGCCGCGGATAATTACGCGGGGGCGGTCGGTCGGTAAGACCAGACTCCGTGAAATTTCGCCGCGCTGGACAACGGCGGCGATAAGCGCGTTCCTGGCAGCGCGCTGCGCCAACGAGTTCGCTATTAAAACGGAGCGGATAAATCATCAGCGGTCGGCCACGGTGACTCTCTCTCTCTCTCTCTCTCTCTCTCTCTCTCTCTCTCTCTCTCTCTCTCTCTCTCTCTCTCTCTCTCTCTCTCTCTCTCTCTCTCTGTCACAGTTTTACTCTCCCGGGCGGAGGAAGCTCTTTCGCGCGAGCGACGCGCAACGCGACGCGCAAAGCGACGCGTTATCTCATCGCGCGAACTCCACGGGAAGCGAGCGAGTTAAGGCGCGAGCGCGCGAGATGTTAATCTAGTTGAGATAAATTGTTCATTTCGCATGTATTTTCGATCCTATCGCTTAACACGTGATATCAGAGAAGCGCGCGTTATCTCGCCCGGCTGGCTATCTATTCCCGAGTCTCTCTCTCTCTCTCTCTCTCTCTCTCTCTCTCTCTCTCTCTCTCTCTCTCTCTCTCTCTCTCTCTCTCTCTCTCTCTCTCTCTCTCTCGACGCCGCATGGGCGACTTTAAGATGTAAGATCGGCTAGATCGTAATGAATTCCGTCTCGTAAGTATGTGGACTTTTTCTCGATTTTACTCTCGTCTAACACACACGCACGCGCGCGCCAACACGCACAACTCAATGCGCACACACACACACACACACACACAGTATACGCACAACAAACATACACACATACACCCTAGAACGTTATGCTCTATCCGAAAGGAAGAGAAGCAAGAAGAAGAAAAAGAAGAGGAAGAAAGAGCAATCTTCAAGGGACGAGAAAAAACGCACCGCAACACACACACACACACACTTGACGAACGGATCGTGCCGATGCGTACGTCACGACGGCACGGCGATATCGACGACACGGGACGCGGGGAGAAGAGGAAAATAATAATAAAAAGGAAGATTACCGGAACGATCGTTCGTCGCTCTCACTTCGACTTGGACGAACCGCGCTTTTATTAGACGTACTTATCGAATCGACGGACCCCTCTCGGCACGGTCTCGCCCGAAGTACAGCCGAGGCGAGCGAGTGCGAAATCCTACGTCGATCTTGGCTCGCTTTGCCCTCCTCGGGCCTCGTATTACGTACCTTAAATGACTATATCACTGTTACGCCAATAACAAAAGCCGCACGCTGTTTCAAATATTTTAAAGGATTTAATAAATCGCTAAAAAATACCCCGCTACGTGCTCAATTCCCTTTTTGCCTCGCTCGCGCGACAGTCCGCCTTCCTGAAATAATACCCACTTCATCAAGGAGGCCATCCGTCGGCATTTGCGCGATAATTCCTGTTCCAGCAGGGAGCGAACTGATGGAGTTTTCGCTCCAGCTCTTGATACTCGACGTTGAACGCGTGGACTGAAATGTGTTGCACGCACGGGTATAAAGGCACGCTCTTCGTGTACTTTTTACCTTTTTTTCTTAAACGTTCATTTTTATTAGCGATAAATAAACTTACATATCTTTACAGTAACAATGTCCCTTTCGCAACTCTCGGAAAATATGATAATATCTATTCGCAAAGATTCGTATAGATCAAGACTTACTCCTCGCTTATCATTTGGTTGTTAATTCCAGCTTCCTTGCGCGCTCGGTTAACGATGAACGAACGAACGAACGAACGAACGAACGAACGGACGAGCGAACGAACGAACGAATGAACGAACGAACGAACACTTGTTAAAAAACTCAGTACGATACGAACGGTATACGCGCGTATCTCCTTATCAGTAAGATCATCGTCTACGTTGCGTACGTATTGTTTTTCTTCTTCTTTCCCACATGCGATCTACGTACAAGTCTTAACGTTACTTAAATCCTAACGATTAGCGAGCGTACAACAGCCGAACATGAGAGAAGAGGTGAACAACATAAGACCACTGCTATTAAGTATCATCGTAATCGACATAACGATCCGTGCCTGTCGCGGCTCACGGATTAATTTTCTTTTCTCTTTTTCTTTTTTTTCTTTTTTCTTCTCTATCATTCCCTTCCTTTGCGAATTCTCGGCTATTGGTTTCCTCTCTTGCCTCGTTTGGAACGCCTCGTCCTCTCGCAAGTCTCCTTACGTCATCCGACTCGTTCTCTCGACTGACGTTTACATAGTCCAATTGTTCCGCGTTCCCTCCCCGTCCACCGTTGTACGTTATCTGTCGACGTTTTGTTAAGTAGGTTCTTACGATATAATCCTCATAAAATCCTCCCCTTCCCTCCCTCTCTCTCGGTCTCTCTCTCTCTCTCTCTCTCTCTCGGTCTCTCTGTTATAGCATTACGCGTTGCATCGATACCGACTAATGATGATCCGTATCGATCTAATTTGTTTCCGCTGTCGTTGGACGCCGGAGGCGGAGCTACGATTTAGAAGAGGATCGCGGATTCCTCACTCGAGAGCAGTTTCAACCGTCGGAGTCGCAACCGACGCAATCGGGCTCGGCTCGGAGACGTCGTCGATACGTCACAGGGTAAACTCTCGGTACGATCTCCAAGTGGATGCAAAATTTAGTTCAATCTTCCTTCCTTCCCAAGCGAGAATTCCATGTGTCAGCCGAGTCGATCTGCGCGCGCCCGATCGACCCAGTTATGCGTCAAGCGACGAGCTATCGCGCTATTATGCGCTTTAGTTTAGACCGCCAATGCGACCCAGTCTCCGTCTCGTCTGCAATGCGACTCGTCCTCGTCCTCGTCCTCATCGTTAGTTCCTAGCATCGTCGCGCGAATCAAACCGCATCGCGAGCGACGTCACGGAGTGAACACGGAGGGAACAACACGCAGTTTCGCACTCGTCATCGCATTGTTGTCTGGCGACGACGCCAGTCGAGAGGAAGCAGCCTTCGTTTCAGCGCGTTCTGAAACTTGCCACATCGGAGACCACCGCTCGAATATTCGCCCGACTCGACACGCGACGCTGGGCTCGCTTTTCCCAATAAAATATGCACTGAGCTTTCTTCTCAGTGTGACGCAAGCTCCTCTCGTGTTTATCACACCGATAAACCGGCAATTCCTCGAACATCGTCTAATTTCACGGAGTCACGAATTTCCTCCTCCTTTCCGCTTCTTTATTCCTCTTTCGCGATTCTCTCGCCTGGGAGGAGACTCAGAACAGGGAAGAGAACAGACGGTCTCCGACGGCGCGCTTTATTCGCGCGAGAAGCGTGTGTGTCCGGTGTATGCCTCGACTCCTTTGACGCGTCGTGTACCCTCGTCTCGAGGGTTCACGCAGCGCGGAGTTCACGCAGCGCGGATGCGACGCTCGTCAAAACCTTCGTCACCCCTCTATGATGGTCCTCTCGCGTCGTCGGGACGAAGCGCCCACGACCGGGCTCATCGACGGACGACGTCGCGCCGTTGCACTTGGATGCACTCGACGCCAGACATTAGCGTGCCTCCCGAGCCACCGAAGCCGGCGAATTCTCGAGTCTCCAGCTCGCCTCGTCGTGACGGACCGTCCGAAGGACGCGTTTTCCTGACCGCGAGAAAACACGCCCGTCGTCGAGTCGGGCCGTCGCCGAAGAGGCGACCTGGAACGACGTCGGTAACACCGTCGGTTGAAAAAGGATCGGCGTCGAGCTGCGGTTGATCGCTTTAGAAAACTCGCGTCTGCCCGGCGATTCGACGCGATTCAACGGCCTTAATCATTAAAGTTATTATTATCAAATAAAAAATATGTATATGCGTAAAAAAGGTATACTCGACGACGTGTCGCCGCGGCTCGACCTCTCGTCGGCCGAGCGGTCGAGGTTTTGACTTGGTCGACATCCTTCGCTCCGCTCGCGCTCTCCGGACTGCGGGTGTGTGTGTGTGTGTGTGTGTGTGTGTTTGTTCTCTCTCTCATAGAGTATACGTAACACATAATCTGTGTATGTTTTCGGTATTAAGCAGCTATCGCTTATCGCGTCTGTGAAGCGTTATCGCGACCTTTAATCGCATACGCGTTGTCGCGTCTCAATCGCGGCACGTGTCGCAGCGCGTGATCGACGTGACAATGCGAGGCAGGACGCGCCGTCTTGTTCGGCTCGTCGATCGATACGGTGCATTGTGTCCTTCCGGCGTGCAGCAGCAGTCGCAATCGCGAGCTGTTCGCAGCTGCCGATACGCTCGGCCGTAAACCGATACTTCGTGCCGTAAACACAAAAACCTTATGCTTACATTGTCCTGAAATTATCATCACTCGAGAAGCGAGCAGCACCACGTCTATTGTCTTTTGCATAGCAACGTCGGTAAAATTACACACAGAAGGAGAGAAAGAGAGAGAAAGCGACTTTTCTTCCATTCGAGATCATCGTTAACTCGCGTCGATAGTCTTTTCCCGTCTCTTCTCGGCCAGCCGCGACGAACACGGAGTCGCCACCGACCGCGTTCAATCCTTCGGAGAGTCGCGGCGGCGTCCGTTCCGCACGTCGCTTCGGTGCGCTTCCGTGCACTGGGATTTCCGGGAAATCCAGCCTCCAGTCTTCCCGCAGACTCGCGAGAACAGCGCGAGAGGGTGTCGCGCGACAAGTTACAAAGAGGTGCACACACGAGTAACTTTCAGAAACGCAAGCGATTCCACGTGAGTACTGTGCGCTCGGCATGCGGGTGCTCAGTGTGACGAGTGTCCTGAAATCGTCCGAGTCCGAGTCTCAGCGAGGTGTGTGTGTGTGTGTGTGAAGAAAAGAGAAAGAGACACGAGAGAGACAAGTCCCTCGGCGAAGTCGCGCCTCGGGCGATTCGCCGTTCAATTGCCGTGCTCGGCGCGCGATCGTTGCTGATCGTTGGTTTTAGCGGCGGTGACGGCGGCCGCGAAGCGCAGCCGTCTCCTCCTCACGAGGGCGAACGTCGACGTCGGGCATCTGCGACGGAGACGCGAGGATGGGACCGCGGGACGATCGGGGCCCCATCTCGCGGTGGGCCCTCCTCAGAGCACGGGCTCCTCGTCCGTCTCGTTGTTCTCGTCGGTTTGTTGCGACGACGACGAGGTGGTCGCGAGCGAGTTCGCCTTGGTCCTCCGATGTCGCTTCTGCTGATTGCCGCTGACGGTGTTACCAGCGTTGCCATTACCGCCGCCGCCGCCGCCGCCGCCGCCGCCGCCGCCGCTGCTGGTGCTGCTGCAGATGCTGCTGATGCTGCTGCTGGTGCTGCTCGGACTATTGACGATGTTGTTGCCGTTGCCGAAGTCGAAGGCGGTGATCTGGCCGTGCGCGGTGATCAGAGGACGCAGAGCAGTACGTACGGACCAGTGCAGCCGAGGATAGGCGCGTTCCTGTTGCAGCATCAGCTCCTTCCGTCGATTCTGCTTCTGCAACGCGCGAGTTGGGGAAAAATCGTTATGAGTACTTCGGTTTCAAATCAAAGCGGGACGCGCGTCTTCCCGCGTATACTTTACCTCGGATGGACGCGGCGACTGCGAGCCCTGCGAGATCCTGAGTTTCTTGCTCTCGGTGAATTGCTTCAATGCCTTCTCCCGCACGTAGATGAAGGGTCTGATAACTCTGAGATCCTCGCGACGTATGTAGTAGTGCGCCTTCATGGTCTTTAGCATGCCACCGTGGAACACGGAGATGAGGAAACTCTCCGCGAGGTCGTCCAAGTGCTGGCCTAGAGCCAGCACGTTGTAGCCGTTCCGCTTCGCCAAGGAGTACAGTTGCGTCCTGACCGACCGGTCGCAGAAGCTGCATGCTCCGCTGGCGATGCTGGCGTCCAACAGATTATCGTCGACGTTGGCACCGCTCGAGTCCGTCACTTGCTCCTCGTAGAAGTACGGCACTTCCAAGGTCTTCAGGTAGCTCATCAGCTCCAACGGATCGGCACCGCCCGCGTCGACTGTCGCCGCGCTGATCTCGAAGTCGATTCCCTTGGACCTGGCGTAGAATCGGTATTGGTGCAGAGTGTGCAGCAGGGAGAGCGAGTCCTTGCCGTTCGCCGACAGGCAGACCAGCACCCTGTCGTTGTCGCGGATCATGTCGAATTCCTGCATAGCCTCCACCGACGGCTTCCAGATATTCTTCGGCGGGCAGTGCCACTGCGTCCGCGGGAACTCGAGCCTAGAATCGCCGTCTTCGGACTTGTTCTCTTGGCCGTCGCCCTCTTCTTCCCTCAAATCATCACCCGTGCACTCCTCGTCCTCCGACAGGTTTTCGTTCTGACGCGCGTGCTGCTGTTTGCCGCCGCTGTTCTTGCTCGACAGGCTCGTCATCGTCGTCGGCCGTGGTTTCCGTCCGTAGCTGTTGGTGGAGTTGGACTCGGCGCTGCTGCTTCGTTTCAGATCCAACGAGTCGATCGACTTGTCGCTCTCGTGGAATGACAGGTTGATGCCGCTGTCTTGAGAGCTGACCGAGTTTACGGCCGAGTAGATCTTCGGTAGGACCTTGCGAGCATCGCCGATATCCAAACCACCGCGTCCCTCCTGCGAGTCGTCGTCCACGTAATCGTCCACGTCATTCTCCACCTCCTCGTCCTCGGCTTTGGAGCGTCCGCGAACCACTTGCTCGCTTTCGGACGGTTTCATCACGTAGATCACCGTCTCGTCCGACGAGCACTCGCTCGACATCTTGCTCTCCTGCTGTGACAGCTCGCCGACCTTGCTGGTGATCTCGATCGGGCCGCTCTTCCTCGCGCTCGAGAAACGCGGCGACGCCGACGAGGGAAGCACGATTCTCCCCCGATCTGGTGAGCCGCATCCGTTCGACGAGACATCCGACGTGGAGGCGTCCGGTGAGTACCTGTGAAGCCCGTCAACCGCGTTCACCATGCACCTGTGGGCAAATGTTCGCAAAATTCGATTCAGTTTCGTGTGCGAATTCACTATTCTGTGTCGATTCAATGTATTCCGTACAAAAAAGGTATTTAATAATAAAAAAAAAATGTATTCAGTAGGCGCTAATAACAAACATATCTACTTAAATCTGAATTTTTCCACTCGAGAAAAATTACATATATTCATCACTCGAGGATAAACACCGCTTGCTCTCTTAGATATTTTTTCTCTCTCTCTCTCTCTCTCTCTCTCTCTCTCTCTCTCTCTCTCTCTCTCTCGCATTAATTTCGTAATATTTATTTTGCATTAATTCGCGGATAATCGGTTTTTATATTTCTACATTCGCAATTCTTTCTCTCTCTCTTTCTCTCTCTCTCTCTCTCGTCGCGACGATACGCGACGCATACCTTATTTCGGATTTCACTTCGCTGGCCATCTCCTTGGAGAATTCCATCAGGTACTCGGCGATGTCGCTGGCTGTGAAGGAATCGTGCCTCGTCTGCTTGTCTTCCACGTATGTCTGATTGATCATGCTGTGCGCTCGCGAATGATGCTGCGGCGTGCTCTCGGACGTGTTCGTCTCCGACAGAGCGTCGTCCACCTTGGAGATGACCTCGCGTATCTCCGACTTGATCTCCGTGGCCAATTCCTTCGTCACCTCCTTCACGTACGCGCTGAGATCGTCCTCGGATCTTTGGCCGGCGCACGTCGAGATGGGCGACGATCTGCCACCGCCCACCAGTCGCTCGGTGTAATCGCTGGCCGACGAGTAGGAGGACGGCGGTGACGCCGGATTGTGACAGTTCAAGGAAGAGATCGAGTGACTCGGGCTAGCGGCGGAGTCTAGTTCCAACGAATTCAGCTCCGTCTGGCTGCTGCAGCTACAGTGCAGACGCTTGTGCTTCGACGACGAGCCGCTGGTCGTGCTCAGGCCCAGGCTGGTCAAGGTCTGCGGGCTCAGAGGTAACGGCGGGATCGGCGAAGAGGCGGACGCGGTACCGGCTCGATTTCCCGGCACGTTGCAGCCGTCGGTGGTGCTTCCGAGAGAATTGCACCTCGCGCGACCCGCCGCGTTCGTCGCGTCCATCAGTTCCCTCTGCTCCTTCGTCGGTCGGACGGTCGCGCGGGATATCGAACCCAGCATCGAGGTGGTCACGGCCTCGCCCACCGCAAACCTCACCGGCATCGGCGAGTTCGGACACGTGGCGGGCGATCGATGCCCGCCGGACAGGTTACCACGGTCGTTCTGACTCGAGCTCTCCTCCTCGCTGTTGCTCGACGACGACGTCGGCTGACTCGGTTTCGCCGCGGATCGCGAGATCAGAGCGGTGCGTCTGGCGGTACTCAACGCCGGTAGACTCCGATGCCTGGGCGAGGCCGACGAGACCGGCAGGTTACCGGTTCGCGGGATGTCGCTGTTCAGTCGCCGGATGCCGTTGGCCAAGCAGTTCACCAGGCTGTCGTGGCAGGTGCCGGCCGGCGGGTAGCTGTACCTGTTCCAAGCCAGCAGCGGGTTGAACGGCACGTCCTGCTTGACGTTCTGCGAGTTGCCCAGCAAGAGATCCTGCGCTTCGCTCGGCAGCATGAACCAGCGCAGCGCCTCCATACGCTCGCACACGAAGTTGAAGCTCTTGTCGATCTGCAGGGGGTAACGCTGCGCCATTTTCCGGGCGCGGTTGAAGATGTTGCGCGCGGTTTGCAGGCAGTCGCCGTAGTTCTGCGGGAAGACCCCGGAGCCGGAGGCGCGCCTCTCCGAGGCGTTCATCCTGCCGTCCGTGTACCTGATCGAGCCGAGCCACTTGCGTTCCTTGAAGACGCTGTTGGTGTGGTGCCGCCATTCGCCGGTGTCCGGGTTCAGCACGTACTGCGGCAGCAGCTTCCAACCCTCGGTGGCCACCATTTTGAGCGCCTCCAGGACGAAGGCGACCTCGGCCTCGCTCATGAAGTACGGGAAGGACAGCCGGGCGAAGCCCGGCCTGAGGCCCTCCGCGGTGGTCTCGTCTGCGCTCGTGCGTTGCCTAAAATAAAAGCACGAGCATGAGAGCGCGAGCGATGAGTGACAGGCGCGACGACTCACTTTGCCGAGAAGAGAGCAGCCCCGACGAGCGCGCGCCAAGTGCCTTGCTCTCTCGCGCGCGCGCGCGCCTCGCCGCGCGGCTATTGACGTAACGTCTATTTCGACGCGCGTGTCCATTACGCGAAATTACGCTGCGCGCGAGCTTAATGGAGAGGGTACTTCCTGCCGCGGCGGCGATCCGCACGTGCTGCCTGCCTGCGCACGTGTGTCGTAGGGCGCGTACGACGGAGACGCGCGCGCGAGTCGCGGTGTCTCACTCCGATTCGCTCGGGTCTCTCGCGATTCGCGAAGTCACAACCTCGAGACTTGGGAATGCGCTGATGCGAGATACACGTTCCGCGCCGCGAATGCGCGGAATGAGAGCCGACTCTGGTGGGAGGAAATTGCCAGGGAAGAAAATTGCGGCAGAAACAAGTTCCGAAGTTTGGTGCGACCGAGGTTTCCGTTTGTCCGGCAAGCTCGGAGAGGTCGCAGATGCGCGGGAATGCTTGTTGAAGCTTCTTAAGTAGTCGATTAACATCTCGTATGACCTCAAACGAGAATTTTTCCAGCAGCTGATTTTTCTGAATGCCCAGCTTCGCCAGAACTCGGTTTCCGCCACCGAAACCGCCGAGTTTCGCTCGCTGTTCTTCGTTCGCGGTCACACCAACCGAGATTTCTCTTCGCGGAGCATGAGGAAGAGGAAAGAGGGGGAAGACTAGCACGAGAGCTGCGACTACCTACCCTTCCAAGAGGATATCCTCGTACTCCTTGGCGAGTTCCCGGTCGATTCCCATGAGGTCATGGGCGTAACGACCGGTACAAGCGCATCCTCCTCGCGCCTGAATGCCGAACACGTCGTTCAAGACGGCGCAGACAAAGTTGTGGTGGAGGAACGTGCCGCGGGGATGGCGCACCATGAACGAGAAGATCGGCAGGCGCTTGACGTTCTGCGACGAACTGCCGAGCAGGATCAGCTCCGGGATTGTCCGCACATGGGCCAAAACTTGCCTGCGAGAAAGAACGCGGTTTTCAGCCGTGTTTGACACCACTAGACGCTACAAACGAAAGAGTTCTCTCTCTCTCTCTCTCTCTCTCTCTCTCTCTCTCTCTCTCTCTGGGAGAAATTACAGGCCGCGTTGGAGGGAAAGAGAAGAGCGAGAGGCGCTTTTTATGAGCGGCCCGGCCGTACACGCGCAGGAATTTGCGTTCGCAGGCAGACATTCGCGGCGAGAAATTATTCCAAACGATCGCATTTGTTTCCTGTGGTGGCCGCTGGTGGAGGGGAAAAAAATGGGCGACGTCTTATGTAAGCCGCGAGCACGAGCGGCCGGCCGGCTGCGAGGGAACAGAGGCGGATCGTTCACCTGGAAATCTTATCCTGCCGCGCGACGATCGCTCTCGGCGTGACGTTCTCCTTCAGCTGCACCGCCAGTCCGCATCGGATGCTCTCCACGACGCCGCCGGTGCCGCTCTCCTCCCGCAGCTCGGGATCCCGATGGTAGCGGTGGGAATCCCGCATGTCCTCGGCCTCGACGTCCTCCCGCAGGAGCCAGCGCTTGGTCACGAGTACACCGGGCGACTGCACGCCGCCGATAAATTTGTGGCCCGCGAAGATGATCGCGTCCTTGTGCACGGCGGTCTCGCCGACCCCGGGCAGGTGAGGGTTCATGTCGATCTGGACGTAAGGGGCTGCAAAAGCCAAGCGACCGCAACGTGACGTGTACCGCGCCGCGTCGGAGTCCCCGTTTCGAAAACGACCAAGGAGGACGAAAGCATCGCGGCGAGTTGGTTACACAACGCGGGAGCGGGCTTATATAAAGGACATTGTGTGTCGACGGTAATGATATTTAATTTGCCCTCGTTACGAGACAGACGTATCCTAGTTAAGGACGCTCGCGCGTGACTTACGAGCGTCGGTGTGATTAGCGCGCGCGCGCGCGCTTCGTTACTCGCTTCTTCCGCCGGGATATATTAATTAGCGCGGCGATGCTGCGGCCTGCGTTCTCGCTGAGCTGAAAGATAGCCGCCGCGCAGGGCGCGGCTAAGACGCGAGAGCCCGCTTCGCATTCGGCGGCTCGGCTCGGCTCGGCTCGGCTCGGCTCGGTCCTCCTTCATCGCTCGCGATCCCGTCCGCGTCCGTTCCCGATCATTACCTGCGGTGGTGTAATCCCACACGCTGAGCGCGCCGTATTGGTGCAACAGGAGGGTCGTAGCGACGTCATCTGCCAAAACCCCCGTTATGCAACTGGCAGCGCTGAAGCATCCGATCATTTGCGCAACGCCCTCGCTCCGCATTCTGGCGAGTCCCCGTTCGAGATCGTTCAGATCTAAGAAGCCCTCGCGCGTCTCGGAGATCCTCACGATCTGTAAAGCAGGTTCCGTTGCTCCGTCAATGACTGCAACAGCGCGACGCTGATAAGCAGCGCGCTTCCCCGGCCGAGTCGAAGCGCTAAGCGGCCCGAATCGAGAGAGAGAGAGAGAGAGAGAGCTCACCCGTGCGCGCCTTGGAAATATTTATGCGGAATGTCCGTCTCAGGGCTGTCGCCCTGGTATATATCGGGGACAACTTGTTCGAAATGAAAATCAGGTTTGCGCCTGAATGTTATGCAAATAAGTTGACGCGCGCTCATTTCCATCGGTTATCTCTATAACGCTCTCGAGCGAAGCGCCAAAAATGCACGCATGACGATGAGAGCGCAATCCGCGAACGAACGGACTCGTTCGTTTGAAAGAGCGTGCACGCATCCGCGCTAATCCGCGTTAAACGCTTGCCTTGCGTTTTACGTTGTCGTCGTAAATCAACGACACGCGGCCGCTCATCGCGCGGCGATCATCGCGCGGCAATCACGAGCTCGTGTTAGCACGAGCGTGCATATATTTGCACATTGATATCATTGAGCGGCCAATATCAGTGTGCGGCGCATTTGCGATTTCAGATTTAAGCGAAGGCCGAAGGTCTGGAAGAGAGCTGCCTCGCGTCGGAATTGAAACTCCAAATATATTCGTCGTGTTTCACCGTTTCTCGTCGCGCGCAACACGTTCCGCGCAACGTGTCTCGCGCGATTCCATTCAATTGTTCAATCTTCATCGCGCGACGGCTTTCATCAGGAGTCGCCACCGCCGCGCCGAGTCACCGGCCGTGGCGCGCGATTACTCACGGGGATGACCGGCGGTTTGATGAGAAGTCACCGCGTTTCGCGCGGGCGAGCGTTAGATAACAGAAGAAGCGCGGCCGCTGTCGATGGCGCGCTGCCAAAAGCTCCGTGCCTAGCGCTACATTGCGTTTATTGCGCGCCATTTGATCCTCGCGCCTCCTCCCGCGACACCGTCGCGGGCGGAGGCATCGCCGGCGGCCGCGGTTTTAACGATGCACTTGGCATGGCGCGGCTCTTATCTGACCGCTCTCGACGCTCGCGGCGACCGGCTCTCTCTCTCTCTCTCTCTCTCTCTCTCTCTCGGGCTTTTCCACGTGAATTTATCTACCGGCTGTCTCTTACCTTGACATCGAGCTCGCGCCAAGGCCTCAGGTTGGCGTGATGCTCGAACGGGCCCACGAAGACCACGGTGGATTTCGCGAGATCGAGATGTCGTAAAAGTGTGCGAAGGGCAGCGGCGGTGCCTTGACCTGCGAACAACACCGCATCCTGCTCGCCGGCTCCGACCGCGTGTCTGACGATGTCTCTGGCTTCGTGCCTGCAACACGAACGGGCAAACGCGAAATGCGTGTGTGTCCAGCGCGGCGAGGGTGAACATCGCGCGCTCGCGCGCCCATTCACGCGCGGAGTCAACGTGGACTAGGCGCGTGAGAAACAAGGAACACCTTGAGGAAGGAGCGCGCACACTTCTTCGCGCTCCTCGATCGATGCCCGCTCTGAGTGCAAAATTCTGCCGACTCGCAGCTCCGATTCCGAACATTCCATCGCCGACTCTGCCGCGCGATCGCGCTCGTTGCAGCGGAGGGCTCGCTGGGCTCGCCGGGAATCGATACTTTCTCATTACGGAGACGCTCGTCGTCGGCGGGACGCGCGGCGGTGGATTTTATCAGCGCCGCACGTTGTACGCGTGTGTGCTACATCCACGTAATGTGAATCGCGAAGACGGCGTCGCGGATTCGCGCGCGTTCGCTTTGAAAGCTGACGTCGTCGCGTGTCATTTGAGACGGATAACGCGATAGCGCGGAAGGGGGAGGCAATTATGGGTCGTGGCAATTTATTACAGTACATTGTGCAAACATGTCTCCGAATGTGTCGCTCGTCGCGTGATGGATCCCAAGCCGGGTGTCGCGTATCATCATTATCGGTCTCCCCCGGTCGACCGCGGAGCGAGCACCGCGGTCTCCTTTTTCCCTCCCTCTTCCTCTCTCGCTCCCTCCCACCGGGCGGGGGTGGATATTGATCTGGGACATCAGCGCCAGTAAACGGGAGAGTCGAGACGAGACCGTTTCGCGCCCGGGCGCGGCGCGGCGCGGGCGGCCCGAGCGAGATTCAGAGGCGACTGATCTACATTTCCTCGGAGAGGGCGCAGCGAATTGAAAGTTGTTGTCGTCGGCGGCGGCGGCGATAACGACGACGATAACGAATAAACGGTGGGCACTGCGACGATGGCCGCGTTTTTTTTTCCGCCGCCTCTTTTTCCACCGAGCAAACACGCCCGCGACGAGACCGATTGAGTTTATGTCGCGTTCGAGAAAGTTTCCAGGCGCGATGTAATCTTCCCCGGACGCTCGATATCGCGAAACGACTCGTCACTCTCGGCCGAATCGAGCCTCGAAACGGAAGGAACGGCGTTGAGTAAGTTGTATAATTAGTTGCTGATACATTAAGAGGGAATTAAGAGGAAAAACATTAAATATTGAGATGATGAAACAACTTCAACACGGAAGAAAGGATCGGCATGAAGAATAGGTCGTGTAATATAATGTCGCACACTCGAGATTCTCCGTTGATGTTTTCAGCCTCGGCAGGATTTTTCTGCAGCAGGATCAGCCTAGAACGATAATTTCGGCTCGGTGCCTAGGGTTGTCAACTGCCCGGTTTTGACCCGGACTGTCAGGTTTTCAGAAGTCTTGTCCGGTTACGTGAGTCAAATACCGGATACCGTCATATGTCCGGTTTTTAAGTTATATCCAATCAATGGAACGAGAGGTCAGATTTTAGCAACGTTTCTCCGTTTCAAGCGTCTACAAACGATCGAGCGCCGCGAGGAGCCATCTAGTAGATGATCTGCCGATCCATCATTCCATATATATTGAAAAAGTAATAGTTTATCATTTTATTCGATCAAATCTTGTTTATAAAATTGTTTGGAAATTGATATTGTAAATAACTTCTTGTCATATTTTGTGTTTAATGTAACGTTATGATTATTATTTCCGTCCGGTTTAGTACGGTTTGGGTTTGTTACCAAAGAAGAAATGTCCGGAAGAATTTTAACTTTTGGATTCGGTAACCCCCCTACAAACAACAAAATAATCTGGTTAAAATATGCCCGACAAAACTGTTTAGTTCCTGTAGACAAATGTCTCGTTTGGTTACGGTTTGTTTACGCATAACGTAATACTTTTGTTGTTATAGCAACTAAAAAGCTTTAACTATATGAATTTTGTTAAAAATACTATAATTTTTTCTTAATACATAAAATCTAAATTTCAGTGCGCAGAAAGACAAAATAGTATCCATGGGGCATTATTTTGGTTTGTTGCGTGTAAAATAATATTTCGTTATTGCGTAATTTTTGTGAATAAAATCACTGAAATGCTCAATTTTTATACACGAAGTCCAAGAATAAGATCATTTGGCTTTGTCCAGAGGACAAAGCAGAAAAATACATTTAGTTGAAACAACTAAACATTACCCGTTATATAAAACGAGATATTTGGTTGCTATTAAAAAATGCCTCGACTAAACAGTTTTGTTAGAGATACTAAATCTTTCTTCCTAGTGGTGTCCCGGACACCAACCGCGGTGACCCGGCGTTGAAATGAAACAGGATTCGATCCTCACGGCTCGACGTGCACGTCCGAGGCAGAACTCCGTTGTAATGAATAACAAAATTAAGCGAAATACACAATTCCTCCTTCGCTCGTCGGAAATTTGCCAATCACGGGATCTAATTGCGTTTTGCGCAGGCAATCACCGATATACTCGTTGCAGCGGGACACAACAACCCCGCTACAACCCGCGGGGCCCGCGACCGAGTTGCGAAATGTGCGAGAAGCAGATTTGCCGATCCGCCCGAAGGACGCCGCGGGCCGTTAGGCCGAATCGTCGCTTACCTAAAGAGAGAGGACTGCAGACTGCAGATGGACGTGGAGGCCCAAGTGTCGCCCAAACATGGCAGCACCTCCTTCGCGATGTAATCCTCAAGGAACTGCAGTGACCTTCCCGAGGCGGTGTAGTCGCAGTAAACCACTGAAACACAAAGGCGCCGGTGAAAGGTGGACACGTTGAAGTATCGTGCGCGGGCGGGCGGGCGGGCTGTCCGTCTTCGCGATGAGCCTCTTTCTGTCGCGATCGCGAAAGCTCCGAAAAAGCTTTTTACTTTTCTCCTTCACTTTTCATCCTTTTTCTCGTCATCTTTCATAACCTGCCAACCGCGCCAACGGCGCGGCGAACGGCGTGTCACGCCACGCGCTACTTTGTACAGCGCGCGTGCTGGCAAGCCTCGACTGGCAATCGTAAAGGGAACGTCGCTCGCCGTCTTTGTCTCAGCGAAACGCGCTCGTTGGATCTTACCGTCGTAAAGCAGGACGAAGGGGTGATTAGCGAGAAAACGAAAATCACCGAGATCATCCGCTCTGAATTCCCGTGAAAAAGCCCACACACGTCGAGAGCTGGCACTTCGCTGCTGTTTGCGCGAGAACCGCCGCCTCGCCTCGCGTAAGCGCGCAATTCGCGCGAATGAATCGCGCTTGGAAAATACGGCATCTATTTATGGATGTAAGATGTGTCGACGCTGTCGAGGCGTTAAAATCTGGCATAAACTGCGAGAAGCCCGTTTCCGCTGCTATTTCCAGGCCTTACCGCGAGTCGCGTTTATCGTAGACTCGGCTTAACCGACAGAGAAGGAGAGAGAGAGAGAGAGAGAGAGATAGGGAGATGATTGTTGGTGCATCATCGCCAGCGCGAAATCCGCGCGGCATATCGGTCAGTGTGCTGAGTACGAAAAGCGTCGATGGCGCTTTCGTGCATCACGAGCTCGCGATGAGACCGAGCGCGTGCGCCCGCGGGAGATATGCAAATGTACTCGCGGCGCGATCTGTTAAGCCGCCGTAACTATTTTACACGCTCCTATAAAACGCCGCACGTATGTGTCGTGTCGCGTAAATCTCGGCAATTTTTCCCGGGATGGTGGTGGCCTTGGAAAGGCGGGGGGGGACTGCCCGCGAGGACTGTCGCGGGCGGACAAAAGCCGCTGGTCGAGCTCGGAGCGACTCGGAGGGAGAAAGCCGCTCTCTTGTCTCAGCCCCGCTGGGGGGTCGCCGAAAGCGCGAGCTTAGCGACGACGACGAGGAGCAGCGTCGCGTCGCGTCTGCCGATCGCGATCTCCCTCGCGGAGAGTGAATCGCTCGCGTGCGCAGCCCGCCGGCCAGGCGAGCGTCGTCGCCGGACAATCGTCCATTCATCGCTTAGAGCGGCAAGCGCGCGGCCTTTTTTGCGCGGGCAAATCGAATCGGCCGGGGGAAAGCCAAGGTAGGCGAGGGATAATGACTCGCAGGTGTTTCTTACGAAAGCGCTTGATCGACAACCGGTGGCGCGGCGCGGCGCGCCGTCGGTGGCGAAATTATATACGCGAGCGCGGCACTTTCGCGAGTTTAGGTTCACGGCGCGCTCTCCTAATACGCCGCCTCCCCGGCGCGGCGACGATGACGAGAGCGACAGGGAGAGAGGCAGGATCCGCTGACTCGGCTGAACATCGTCGTCGCGACGATATCGGGTTCTGTCTTCGGCCACGCGAGACACCTGGCTCTTGTTGGCTCTCCGCGCGCCGCGTCTAATTGCACAGGAAAACATCGTTGAGAAGGAGCGCCGCGCGAATCCACCGAGTCTCTCGCCTCTCTCGTGATCTTTTATCGTTTCCTTCTTTCTTCTTTTCGCGAATGCGATCGGACGAAATTAGCAGCTCGCCGCGGAGCTAGCAATCATCGCCGATGATGCAGTCGTCATTACGCAGTTTATTGCCTCTCGCTGTATTTATCGCCGGCGAGGCGAAGGCGCTTATTAAACCGCGAGCGTGGGGGCCGAGGCGCGATCTCTCCCTCTCTCTCTCTCCCTCTCTCTCTCTCTCTCTGACTCTCTCTCTCTCTCTCTGACTCTCGTTATTGTCCTTCTGGATTCAGCTAGTGCCGTCGATTATGCAAGATCGTTCGGTCGCGGGCCACGGAGGATTATCGAGCGAGCACGGGAGCGCAGCGACGAGAGCGGAACGCGCGCGCCGTCTAATTTATTAATTTCGCTCTCGCCGATCGAAATCGATGACAATTCGCGATTCGCTCGGCCGGCAAGCCGGCCCCGGCGGTTTTTGCTGAATTATGCCAAGGTACCGCCTGGCTTTGTTTCCTGCCGTCGCCGCCGCCGCCGCCGCCGCCGCCGTCACACCGATGACGTCAGGATATACCTTGGAGCGAGCTCGTGCAGCGGACGGTAGTGATCGATGCTTAGGGCTAACTGCCGCGATCTCGTCGATAAGCCCGCTGAGCGGAATGAACATGTGGACGCGCGCGCGCGCGCGCGCGCCAAGCTCTATACTTTCAGTTCCGCCGGCGATAACTGATTCCGCGGAAATCATTTGAATATGTAACGAGCGATCCGCGGAACGCCAGCCAGCGTGTGTAATATCACCGGAGGCGTGTAGAGCCGCGCGCTCCGCGACTTCGCGACTCCGCGATATTCGCAACGCCGTTATATACAGGGAGAGACCCCATCAGGAGTGTCCAGCTTCTCCGAAACCTGCAAGTGTCACGCGAGCGCGCGCGAGCGCGCGCGCGCGTCACCTCGGAGCACAGACAATGGCTTTCTCTTTCTCTTTCTCTCGCGTCTCGCGTGGCGGCCAAAGTCGCCAATCAATCGGCGCGGCGACGGCTATCGAGGCAGAGGATATCGGATCCTCTGGCTAAGCGCGGCGCTGCGCTAAGACGCGAAGGAGTCGCGGTTCCTGCCGAAAGTGTCACACGCGCGCGCGCCTATCTCGAAAGACAGTCGCTTTCTCTGAGCGGCGCGAGAAGCTGCGGCTCGAGACCGCGGAACATTGACGCGCGTGCCGAAACGCCGTCGCGAATTATCCAGCCGTCCGAGTGGGCGACGAACGGAGCAGGAGAGCAGGTCCTTTCGCGCGGAGGCGGAGGCGAAGGAGAAGGAGGTGGCTCCGGCTCCTCGGAGGAAGCCTATGCGGAGTTTCGCCGGCGGACACGGCTCGACCTAAATTTTCGTCGATCGCGTCGAACGGACGTGTTTCGCCGGCTGATTACTATCCCCGTCTCGTCCGGTCCTTCCTCTTCTAATAATTAGCGCGCGGACTCGTTCGTGGGTAGAAACGCACGGGAGGACGTCGAGTGGAAATAATAGCGCCGTTCGTCCACTGAGATTTATTTCCACATTAATATGCGCAGCTCTCCTTGCACAATGTGGCATTTTTCTCTTTCTGTTTTTCCTTTTCTTTTAATAGGCAAATGCGCAGCTGCGCGCGCGAGCGCTAGAAATAGCAGCGACCTATTTCTACCGATGCGTTCCAAGTGACGAGATTTTCTTGCGAAAATGCGTTACGCGAGAGCAAAAATATCCCATTCACCTGCGGTCCTGCGGTCGACGGACTCTCGACGTCCGTTGGAGATACAAGACGCGTCGCTGTGCAAATCGGAGTAATTTTCAAAAGAAATTCCAAACTGCCAATTTTTCTCCGTCCGGCGTGTTTCCAGCGTGTTGCAGAGACGCAACTTGCAACCGATCGCGTCCGAAGCGCGAGACATCTTCAACAGCTATTTATCTTCTCGAGGAAAGTCATAACGAGTCTGATTCGTTGTTTCCATATTTGGGCGCGAGTACGCGTCACGAGTTAGATGAGGCTCAGGCGGTCTCGGGTTTAACGCTTCTCGCAGCGTTTTCGCAGCGACAGGTTACGCGACACCTCGGCACGGCGCGGCCGAGGGACTATTTCCAGCGCGTTCTCTCATATTTTTGCGAGTTCACACGCCGCAGCCGCTGTCAAACAATCCGGCAAACGATGACGTGGGCGTCGCGCATCCCGTCGCTCCGCGAGGATACGACGCGCGATGAATGTCGCGGCGATAACAGGCCGCGGCATTGGCGTGCCGCGATTCCGCGAATAATACGGAAGCGAGCGCGGCACTTTGATCTCTCGATAGTCGGCGGCCAGGATGTCGGTCAATTGTAATTGCCGGCGTATTTAGCGGGAACGGCTTCTACATCCGCGTGCGGCGGCGGCGACGGCTCGTTTCTGCCTATCGAGGAGCCGCGCGCGCGCGCGCGAGAGTGATTTAGATGCGTGCCAAGCCTTACACGCCATTTGTCGCATTTCGCGGGAATCGAGATCGTTCATGGAGGGAACCTCTCTCTCTTCCTCCCTCCCTCCCTCCCTCTCTCTCTCTCTCTCTCTCTCTCTCTCTCTCTTCCTCGATTCGCCGGAGTTATAATCCAGCGGTCAGCGCGCCGCGCCGCCTGCGCTCCGGCACCGTTAGAGCGAGAGCTGTTCTAACCTCGGAAGATTAATTAGCATACGGGGCCAGCTGCGTCCGCGCGCAAGCCGTATATCCGGCGTGCGTCTCGAGGATATGCCTTCAATTATTACGCGAGAAAGCATTATCGCGGCGCGATCTTTCCCGACACACGAAGAGCCCACGGCGATTCCCCGGGAATCGCGTGACGCGAGGAAAAATCGAGAGTCGCGGCTTTGCGCGTTACGTGTCACATGTGACGCATGACGAGAGATATGGCGGGACAAAATGAGTGGCTCGGAAACGTCGGGGGGCAACTCGATTATTCATTCGTCCGCAGCCCCCTCTGCTCTCGTCGTCGACTTTGGAAACTAGGAGGAACTCGCAAGACCGGACCCGAGAACGGTCCGCCGTTCACACAATTCGCGCACCGTCACCCTTTGTGACTATTGAATCCGTTTCTCGGAATCGTGGCTGCTTTACCGCGGTGGTATCAAGGAGCGAGCTTACAGCGCGAGTCGATATATACTCGCGGGCACAAATAGAATACACCGTACGCGTCCTATTTTGCAGATACGCGCGCGAGTATTATTTAGCTGCAGTTATCAGCTGGCTCTCTCTCTCTCTCTCTCTCTCTCTCTCTCTCTCTCTCTCTCTCTCTCTCTCTCTGTGTGTGCAGCTCGCTCATTATCGTCGCGGCACTTCAAAGTCGCGCCGCGTCGAGCGGTATGAAAGGGTTCG